TATTAACATCACTATATTCTGTCAGAGAACAGTATTACGCCTGAATTTCAACAAGTCTGTTTGCATTTCACAGGAGAGAACCAGGCTTAGCCAGAAGTTTTATATTCTGTATGAAATCAAGACTTATTATCTTACTTGATAATATTCATTCCTCATGGTAGAAATCTAAAACTGAACTTACTAAGTGTTCTTCTCTCCAACAGTAGACATCAGCAGTCTTAAAAATCACTGACTTTTTAAAGTAAATTTGCCTTATTTCATGGCTGCCCACAGGTTAGGATTGGTCATGAGATTAAGGTGGTAGGAATAATACAGCCACCTCTCAAAATTAGTAATCATGCCAAGGGACAATTTCCAAAAACCAAGGAGTAGTTAAGGTGCTGATCTGAATGGGATAGATTAGTGAGAACCCCCACTCTTCTTGCACATGTGTGCACAAGCAAACATGTGTGCACACATATACACCTCCCAGAGGTGTGATTTGATTTTGGACTTCAGCTGTTATTGAGTTTGCTTCCTTACTTGCTTTAGGTATTGATCTGACTTGAGTACCATTGAAGAGCAACCCCCTTAAGCGTGAGTGTATTTTAATATGTAGTAGTATACAGTTCTTCAGTCTCTTCAAACCCTAAGAATTTGAGTTTTTCTTTTCCAAGTACAAGAGTATACTAGTTCTCTGAAATTTGGTAATACAAACTTAGATTTTCCTGGAATGAGTTTCCCTTATTGTTATCCAATCATACTTATTATTTTTTAGCTTGTTTCGCTGTTTGAGTAAAGGGAAAAAACATTGGATGGTATGTTCTAGTTTTTCAGATTGTTTGAAAACAGCAAAGTATTGATAGACCTTTCATGTGTTAATGCCGTTAAGGTACAAGTATGTTAATTTTTTTTTTTACATAGTCTATAAGCTGATCAACCTGCAACCTACTATCTATAGTAAATGCATTCTTATTGTTACATAGGATTATCTTTTTTAAAACAGTACTTTTAGTGACTTGAGGTTTTTACATATTAATATATAATTTTTACTTGACTTCTCTCTAAAAGGAAGTGTTTTTTTGTTTGTTTTTTGTTTTTTTTAGTTAAAATGTTCTCCAATTTGGAGCTTAGAATGGTGACTCATGCCTATAATCCCAACACTTTAGGAGGCCAAACTGGGAGGATTGCTTGAGGCCAGGAGTTTGAGACAGCCTGGCAACATAGTGAAACTCAGTCTCCGCAAAAAAAATAAATAAATAAAAATTATCCTAGTGTGTGGTGCACGCCTATAACCCTAGCTATCCAGTAAGCTTAGGCAGGAGGATTGCTTGAGCCCAGGAATTGGAGGCTACGGTGAACTGATAGTGCCACTGCATTCTAGCCTGAGCGACAAAGTAAGACTCTGTCTCTTTAAAAAAAAAAAAAAAAAAAAAAGTTTTCTAATTTAGGTTGCATACATCAGTCATGATGATGAAATTCTTTTTTCATAAAAAGTATTGTTCACAATCTGTTTAGTTTTCTTAGTGGCATCCCTTTTCAGTGAGTACTGTCTTTGGCAATGTTTTCTGACTTGTTTCCTAACTTAATTAGAATTGGAAAACAGCCGTTACTTTTCTCTCTTTCTCTTTGTTGTCTGGGGCCCTCATACCTGACTATCTTGATTTTCGCTTTCTCCTTCCCCCACTGCAGTTAACGCTTCATCTCTGAGGCTACTTTTCTTTGTTTGGAGTCTGTCAGCTGAACAGATAGGCATCACCAATGTGTGACACAAGCAGGGACTGTCTGGGTTTGAAATGCAAGATGTATTGTACCAAATGAATTCTAGATTGTCCTGCTTTAGTAGCTCACCCAATTTTTGTTTCTTTAATCTTCAAAAGGTACGACTGGGATACTTGTATTCCTGTAGACCCTGACATCAGTTACATACCAAGGGAAGGAGTAGGCAGTCTCTTTTTAGGATACTTGCACCTATTGAGAAAGCTTGTGGTCCTCTCCCTGAGTGATTGCTGATAACATAGAAATGCATAGTAGCCTCTTTTCACTTAAAAATTAAGTATCAGGTACTGCTTACTCTAGATTAGGTTACAGAGCTGCCATCACTCCTCATCATCAGCCCTGGTACCATTAATGATGACTGTTCTCTTGGCTCAGAGCTGTGTTGTATTTTGCATATGGAATCCTGGAGTGTTGAAGACAGAGATGTCGCATATTTAATTTTAACTCCTTGATTTTCAGAGGAGAAAACAGAGATCATTTCACAATTGCCTTCATATAAATAGTTGTAAGAATGCAACAAAGATACTCTTAGTATAGCTATTCTTCATGTAATTAAAATATCTGTGAAAATTACCTTTAATCCCAGCACGTTGGGAGGCCAAGGCAAGTAGATCACTTGAGGTCAGGAACTCGAGACCAGCCTGGGCAACATGGTGAAACCCCATCTCTACTAAAAATGTAAAAGTTAGCCGGGTGTAGGGGCATAGGCCTGTAATCCCAGCTGCTTTGGAGGCTGACGCAGGAGAATCATTTTAACCTGGGAGGCAGAGGTTGCTGTGAGCCAAAATCGCGTCACTGCACTCCAGCCTGGGTGACAGAGTGAGCGAGACTCTGTCTCATAAAAAAAAAAAAAAAAATCTCTGAAAAGTAACAAGTACCTCAAATTATGTTAAAAAATTGATCGGGTCTCTCTACCCACCCTTCAGATCCACTTTATCCGGGACCCAGAGAAGAGCTTGGCATTCAGGAATTTCCTAAACAGCTGTGTGTTTGTGTTTGCTCATTCATTGGTTCCCTTAAGAAATGTATTCTGGGCACTCGCTGTGCGGTACCGGAAAGACGTGGCTCTTGATTGAGAAGCACATAGTTAACCCACCAGAGTTGTTATCTGATCCCATATTTCTTCAAATTTAGCATTTGACGGAGCCAGCAAGATTTATGTTTTCGACAGAATTCCCTGAAGGAGCTGAGGAGAGCATATCAGCCTGAGGTAGAGGCTATGAGGGCATTTCCCTGGGGCCAGGTTGCCGGGGGCCCAGCCTGGGCTGGCACTCACAGGGCCCTACTGTGGCCCTACTGAGCCCAGAGTCATTGTCATTCTCAGAACCTCCTATGTTTGGGTTATGCTAAAAATGTAGGGAGCTCTCTCTTACATCAGCCTTAATTTGACTGGAAGAGGTCAAATTAAAGTCCTTGTTTGGTTTCCTACAAAGTCCCTGTTTCCTGCAAAGTCCCTGTTTGGCTCCTTGCTGGTTGGCCGAGGCAGGCAAGTCCACCCTGGAGTACCACAGGCCTGTTCCAGGGGCCAAGAAGGCCTTTGTCTCCAGCTCCATTTTCTTACTCTTTGCTTTTGAACTTCTCACCATCCATGTAGAAAAAGTCTTATACATGTGGGATCCCACTGAATTTATATGGTGTTGAAATTTCACTCACTAGTACTCTTCTCACAATTTAAAAAATAGTCATTTAAGAAGTTATATTTGTTGAGTAGGCTGTGTTAGGAGCCGCTCCTGTCTATGGGACAGTAGGAAGTACAGCAGGAATTTCAGAACCAAATTTCAGATCTGCCCCCTGATAGTGGTGGTTTGAGTCACATAGAGTGAGGTTAGCCTCCCCCTCTGAAGGTCAGTTCTTATATATATTTAAACATGCACACAGACACACATATACACACATATTAGAGACAGGGTCTCAGTCTCTTGCTCAGGCTGGAGTGCAGTGATGTGATCAGAGCTCACAGAAGTAACCTTGAACTCCTGGTTGCAAACAATCCCACCTCAGCTTCCCAAGTAGCTGGGACTACAGGCATATGCCACCATGCCTGTGAAGACAGTGTGGTCTCTAATTTTTAAATTTTGAATATTTAAATTTTTTTTAAATTAAATGTTTACATCGTTTACATTTTTAAATTTTTTTTAAAAAATTAAATTTTTGTTTGTAGTGGCAGCCTCTCTCTGTGTTGCCCAGGCTGGCCTCGAACTCCTGACCTCAAGCGATCCTCCCATCTCTGCCTCCTGAAGCACTGGAATTGGTCAGTGCTTCTTCGACATACCCACCTCAGCTCTTTTTTGAACCCTTTTTTTTCCCCCTGCAAAATATTTAACTTTCCCTACTTGTTATTTGGGCACAAATAATTCTGTCCCCAAAGTGGATTCATCGGCATTCTGTGATAGTTTATTTATTGAACGCAGAAGCAGTTCGCTTTCCTCTAACATTACCAATACCTGAAATATGCTCACAAAGAGAAACTGGTGTCTGTAGCCCAGTGAGCATGTGCCATATGCGCACGGCGGCTGCTCTCCCAGCCGTTGACTTGTGGCTCCTGCACAGTCATCTTGTCAGCATCACAGACCCACATAGAGACCAGGCACTCCAGGGCTGCTCTGCCTAGATTAGAGCTGGAGGAAGAGAAAACCCTAACCCAGGCAGCAGTGGCCATTAGCCCACCCAGAACAGAATGCTTACACCCAGAACGGATGCATTCACATCTTAGGAAATAGTGCCTGTTTCCATACAATTTTAAAAACACTGCCTCACCTTTTTTGCTGATAATTATATTAGGAACCTTAAAATTGTATTTTGATTTGAAATCTGGAGACTTACATTAAGGTAAGTGGAAAGTGAATTACAGCAATGCAGGATCAGCTTTTAAAAAAAAATTCAGTTTTTATTGAGACTGAAAATGTCCACTTAGGATATTTCTTCCTTCTCTACTATCCTTAAGTTGGTATATCATAGTTTATAGCTAAAATAAATGGTAGTGACAAATGTGACAAATGTACACTTTTTTAAAAGCAGAGGTTAGAAATGGGAAAAACCTTTTTTTTTTTTTTTTGAGACAGAGTTTCATTCTTGTTGCCCAGACTGGAGTGCAGTGGCACGATCTTGGCTCACTGCAACCTCCGCCTCCAGGTTCAAGCGATTCTCCTGCCTCAGCCTCCCGAGTAGCTGGGATTACAGGCACACGCCAGCATACTTGGCTAATTTGTGTATTTTCAGTAGAGATGGGTTTTCACCATGTTGGCCAGGCTGGTCTCGAACTCCTGACCTCAGATGATCCCCCAACCTCAGCCTCCCAAAATGCTGGGATTACAGGCGTGAGCCACCGTGCTCAGCGGAAAATGGGAAAATCTTAATTGCCCATGCCCACCTCACTAACATAGCCAGGTGAAGGGAGTGAACATTCATCAGAGTGTTCATTCCAGCAAGAAATAGGACCACTGTTTCAATCTAAAATGTGATGATAGTTCCCACTCTTCTCCTATGTTACCTTTCTGTCCACATCTGAAACATCCAATCATGACTATGTACCATCAATGGTCCTCATTAATTAATTGATGATGATATTTTAGCCAATATGTCAGCAAATGTTCTTTGCTGATTCTGTCTCCCCCATCCCCAACAATTTGATTTGTGGTTATTCTGTATCTACTGCCTGTGTGGAGTGAGCCACAGTCAATGGAAATCATAACACATGGGGGCTCTTGTTGCCAGGTAGGGAAGATAAGTGCACTACCCTGCATGGTAAAATTCACTCACTACAGTGGTAATCAGCTGTCACCAACTTGTGACATTGATGCCTTGCGTTGCACTGATTGGTGGAGGAAGAATGGGGGTCATCAACACTTACTGGTGTTAACCATCTGCTAAATAAGGACTTACTTGAGACTAGTGCATGTATTTCTGTTCTCTGAATTTCAGCTGTAGGACTCAATAATCACTTAACTACCAGATGGTTGACAGACAGCTGACTTCTGCTGTCAGTCAGGAAGCAGTGCTAGGAATTGAAATTATTTCCTTGCATTCTGATTTTTCTCAGATAAAATAAGCAGGGGTCTAGCTTCAGTTCTTAGTGGGATATAGCCTTGGGTAAAGTGCGTAAACTCTCCAAACCTGTTTCCTCCTGTTTACCATGTAAAGGCTGAATAAAATAGATTTTGATTTCTCTGTTTTCATAAGGCGTAGAATTTTTAATGTGACTATTATAATCAGGCAAAAATTTAGAACAAGTACTGTTATTGGACCGAAATCTCCTATTTCATCTTTTTAGATTCCACACATGTGATCCAGTGTATGGTACTAATTGCATTTGTGATGAAGAAATTCTAAAATCACAGATGTTGATTAATTTAAAAATGGAACATACGCATTTTTATTAAGCTGTTGAGTTACAGGGTTTGGGCTCCTCTTCCTGATTTTCTGGCGCAACCCAGCGGTGATGAGAATTGTAAGTACAATGTCAGCATCATGCAGAGATGAAATTAGGGGACCCATTTGTCTTTTGGCTGCTTTTGCAGAGATTCTTTTATACAATGTATCTATTCCTAGTTTAGTCAGACCTCTAATTTACCTGGATTTTTTTTGTGATACAAACTTCAGTTTTTCCCATTGGGGTCTCCCCATCTTATTTCTTCCAAGAGAACTAGTTAAGTGATTGGTTGCAGGAGGTACTGTGGGACATTTTGGTACAGTTAGATAATGTGTGCACCATCATGTGCCAGCATTTTATGAGTAGGACTGCACTTTTCTAGAATTGCTAGATGTAGGTGTGAGTGAAGCTTGAATGTTGCATATATTTAATTCTCTTCAAAAATATGTTTCTTGTGTATGTTGTGTTTTCTACTATCTAAAACTGTAATCCACATCAGAACTGGTTATCAAATCTCCTGGGATGCTTGCATAAGAATTGAAATAGATAAAAAGCATCTGCAAGTTAACATGCCAGGCATTTTTCTGGTTTCTAGCGGTCCCACTTCACACTGTGGGAATAGTCCTGGCTGCCTCTAGCCTGGGAAACTTTGCATGGTGCTTTCATCTTTGTAACACTTCCTTCTCTCTCTGACAGCACCAGGAACAGGGCCTGTTTGCACTGCAGTGAATGAGATAATTTTCCAAGGTGGGAGTGCAATGCACCAGGGATTAGCTGATATTTAAGGAGCATGAATGAAAGCAGCAAACACCTCACCAGGGTGGGCCGTACAAGCCTTTGGGCAGTTATTCCCTTGTAGGATTTGAAGTTTTATTGGCAGCTGATTAGGTAAACTGGAGTCATTTGTCCCCTAGGTGTGTCCCTACCCGTGAGGAGAGGTGGCCAGTAAATGTCAGCTGAGGCACCGAAGGCTGCGATGCACCAGCCTGGTGCCGTGTGAGGACGGCCTAGTGGAAACACTCAATGCATGCGAGTTTGCTTTTCAGACCTAATGATTACTTCAAGTCAGGGATTTTAACTTTGTCAGAAACTTGAGTTGTAAAACAGATTGGTCTCCTGAAAACTTCCCTGTCAATCAAGAGCCTTCATTTTCAATCTGGAATATATCACTAATTTTTAAACCCCTGACCTCTTTCAGCTTTGATTTTTTTACAAAATCTAAAGCAATATATAACCAAAACGAAATCTAACACTTACAGAGTTTGCTATTGCCAGGCACTGTTTTAGCTATTTTACATGTATTACCTCATTTAATCCTCATAACAGCTCTGAGGTAGATTCTGTTATTATGCCATTTTATAGATGAGGAGACTGAGGCATAGAGAGATGAAATAATTTGATCAGGGTCATACAAGCTAATAAGTAGTGAAGCAGGTACTTGCATCCAATCAGACTGATTCTAGAATTCCCTTCTCTTGACTGCTATACTATACTGTCTTCAAAAAATGTAATGCAAATCTCCCTTATTTCTTTATATTTGGCTTGACTGTATGAATACACATTTCCTCTTTTATGGGAGATATTTGAACCAATGAATATGAATACTATTTCTCTGGGCTTAGATATGTTTTGGCGGGCTTGAATAAAGCACCTCATCTGTGCTACTTGTGAATTACTTTCTAGAGCAGCATGAGTTCATACCTAGATACATGTGTTCTCAGAGGCACTGCATATACTGATACAAGTGAATAATGTGCAATCATAGGGGTGCCACTTACATAGACTACCATGGTCATGATGCCCCTGACATTGTGCAGTGTGCAGCCTATGCAACTGTCTGTGCAGTCCTTTAAAAGCTGCCTGCCAGCCTTATTTAGATAACTTTCAGGAACATAACAGAAAACGAATATACCTCTGGTCATAGTTCATGCTGTATAGGCTTACCTCAGTGCATCAAAGCTACCTTTCAGTTAAAAATGTATGAATGAAAAAATAAAAAATATTATATAGAACATGTCTGTATATTAAAATATCCATGTAAAAGCAGCCTACCAGATAAGTAAAGAAGCTGTTAGGGTGGCAGCTGAACAATCAAAGTAAGTACCTGTACTCATTTCTAATTTAGATGGACCTTAGTAGCCAGACTGTGGATGTTACACTTAACAAAATCATCAGCTTTGTAACTTTGCAAATTAGACACTGACACAATAGAATCAGAAAATAAAAACCAAATGGAAATATTTCAGCTGTCATTTAGCTTGAAACAACAAAACTCACTCACACATCAGACTTCAGGGATTCATGGATGCTCTTTAATGAAGTACCGGTTGTGGTTAAAAATCAGGCAACACTTGGAAATTTTTATGAGACGGGCAGAATACTTTATGGATGAAGTGAAACAGAGCCCTCAAACTGTTTTATCAATTAAAGATATTCAATAGTACATGGGTTATGTAGCATTTATACTACTTAGTTTTAGGAAATAATGAGTTAACTGGCTAAAATAAAAAGCTCTCTTTCCAAGCAGCTTTAATTAGGTAAAAGTCAATGCTTAATAGTCTGTTAAAGCATTATTTTAAAAATTAGTGAAGTGGAATTAATTGTAAGCTAACAGTCTTAAGTTGGTGTGGTGTAGGCTTCTGCAATCACGATGGTTATTGTCACCTTTATTAAGGGAAGAGGGCTAGCACAGAGCATGATGTGGAGTTCACAGCACACTTGAATTCTATTCCCTTAACTGCTCACAGCAGTGCTGCATGCATCAGCAGTCATCAGGGCTGTAGCAGGGTGTCAGCAAAGTGACACATAACCACACTCTCTCTTGCTACTGTGTCACTCTTCAGTTAGAAAGTTGAGTATTGATAGTAGGATGAGGATTTAAGCATCTTGAGGGTGGGAAGATCCGTCTGTTTCCTGACTGCTCTATCCCCAGGGCCTGGCACCCAGTGAAATGAATGAACTGTTTTGTGATCTGACTGCATGCACACTCTGTGTACTCATGAGGCATAGGTCTGTTTCTGTGAACAGCTTTACTATATGTGATGTCTTTTAATGACTTGGACTTCTTTTATATTGTATTTATTTTTATTTTATATTGTGACCTTGAGGCCAGTTAGCCACCCAAGTTTCATCTGACAGACATGTTTGGTAGTTGATTATAGCAATTAAAGTTTTATCTATTGGTTAAAATTCGGAAGTTATCAGCCGTCTGTGAAAACCACTGCACTATCAACCACAGACCAAGGAGGATTTTCATCTAATGAAAAACAAAGAAATTATATTAAGATCCTAATACCAGAAGGCGGGCATTCGGAGAATGTCTTAGTTTGCTCAGGTTGCTATAACACAATACCTTAGGCTAAGTAATATATAAACAACAGAAATTGATTGCTTATGGTTTTGGAGTCTAAGATCAAGGCCTCAGCAGAGTTAGTGTTCTGTGAGGGCTCCTTCCCCATAGATGGTGCCTCCTATGGAGGTTCACAGGCGGAAGGGACAAGGCAGCTCTCCGTGGCTCTTTTGTAAGATCCTAATCAAAAGCACTGATCCCATTCATGAGGGTGCAGCCTTTGTGACCTAATAATCTCCCAAAGGCCCCACGTTCTAATACCATCACCTTGCTGATTAGGTGAATTTTTTTTCTGCTGTGATCTTTTTGTTAAGAATCATTTCTGTAACATAAAATATGATAATCATTAAGCATGGTGGCCAAGTTAGCATTATCATATTAGCTCTAATTAGCTGTAATTGAATTTTTATATTTTATGCAATTGTCAAAACCAACCTCTACTGTATATTTTAATATACAACTGTGGACTTTAAAAGTGTTAGTAATTCAGTCTTCTAGGACTCCTGGATTCTCAGAAATCCTTTGCACATAGTTTTTGTCGTTCTGAAGAGTACCCATTTCACAGATGAAAAAACTAAGGCACAGAGCGGTTGTGGGGGGCCCAGGAGTTAACTATCAAATGTAACTGGAGACTCATGATTCCATGTATTGTGTTCTTTCTAGTCTACAGTACTGTGTATACCAAGAATCCTCATTAAGTACAACATAGCCACCCATTAGCAAACCGGAGATAACCAGAAAGCCTTAGTTATATGTACATAGGTATATACTTTCTTCCTTGCTGGGACAACCTTTGGAACTCCCTTTGGGCAGGAATCTAAGAAGAAAATCAATGTATCCCTCTTACCATAGGCAAAGCAGCATTTCTTAATTTTCAACTTGTATCATCTGCCCCTGCTCTCACTTATTTTGTAAGAAGAGTCATTGATGCCAAGTCAGGCCACCAAAATGGCCACTTTTAATTACTGCATCTCCAGTCTTACACTAGACCTTGCCATTCTATGTGATGGCAGAGGGGTCACACCTTACTGTAGTGACTATAGTGCAGTTGTATGTGCAATGTTTGGTTGTTTTATGAATGTTGGAGAGAATTTGTACTGTAGGACACAGGGTCTTAAGGTTTTATGTATTGGGCTGAGGATCCTATTTTATATAATGGCAGATTTCTAGAGCTGATGTTGACAGCCATAATGTTAACACATTTTCAAAGCAAAGAAAGTTGGATGGAAGAGTTATGAAGAGAAAATATTGGTGATGATAGGGAACACTTCCAAATGATATTGAAAATAATATTCCAGGAGAGAATTTGATTAGGTAGAAAATGCAAACTGAGTACACTGCTTTCCTATGAAAACAGTGAAGACTCTTTACTAAGAATGAGATATTCTGCTTTTTTGGAAGCAGTAGCATGAGCATTCTGCAGGATTTCAAATAGTTAAATAATTATTATGCCTTGGCCCAGGAGTCTCAGCCTGTCTGCAGAGAAGCAGCGAATATTAAGTACCTGAAGCCTTTGCTCTGAGGTCTGTGTTGGGGGAGGATGTTTGTAGTAAGGTTTGGGTCTAGTGGATGCATTCATAAACTATAGAGATATGTGAACTATGCCTGGAAGCTACCATTTCTGTTTCCTCTGGAAGTTCCAGAGTAGAAGGAACCATCATAGTCTCCACCCATTACCTCAATGGCATCCCTGAACTACATCTGGGCTATAGTTCCAGCAACTGACCAGAGGCACTCTGTACCTCATCAAATTGTAGTTAATCTTCCTTTTTCCTTTCTCTCTCTCTGACTTACATAAATCAAGTATGGTCCTTAGTAAATATCTGAAGAGGTAATTTCCTATTAAATAGGAATAGTAATAGAGGAATTCTATCTGTACAGTTTATACTTGTTTTGGTAAATGACTGATCTCTTGTAAAACTTGAGAGCTTTTTCTGGGCTATTCAGTGTGCATAATGAATATTGATATCTTAGGGCTTTAAAAAATAGCTTCCTTATGTAGGCGTTAGTGTGCTTGGAGACCAGTTTGAGAATTTTGAAAAAAAAAATTTAATGTCAAAGTAGGATTTAATTTAAACTTTAGCGTCTTCATCTTAACCCTCTTTCAACTTCTCCAGAACAGTTATTAGCATAAAAGCTTAATGATTTACATCTGAAGGTTATGTATGTACTGAGGAAATTCAGTGTTGATTCTAAATACTTCTTAGTCATCCTTAAACCCAGCTTGAAGCTCTAGGGTGCTTAAGCGTAGCTCGTTATTACAGAAGTAAGTCATCAGTGAATTGTTTGGCAAACAGCAGTTTGTAGTGGTTTTTCTCTAACTTAGCCTCTTTCAGAAGTGTCTGCATTTTTCAGGAAAATTATCTGTTCATATTTTGAGGATAAAAAATAGCATTGAAGGTACTTTTAGTGCAGATTTGCTGGGGCTATTTTGGTGGTCCTGATTTTTTTTTTATTTTATAAAGGAATATTAATATTGGTCTCCCCATTATACTTCTTGGAATTCCTTACCTGCTGATACCTGACACCCTTGCCTCTGTAGGGGAGTTTCCCATTATTGGGGTTTCCTCAGGCTCCAACCCTCCTGTCTCTTCTGCCTCCCCTCCTCCAAGGCATTGGTGTCTTCCTAGCTTGATCATCTGCCCCTACCTTCCCCCTACCCTCCTTTCCTTTTTAGTTGTGGTGAAAAACATGATACAAAATTTACCATCTTAATCATTTCTAAGTAGATAATTCTCGGGGGTGTTTTGTTATTGTTTTATATTATGAATTTTTAATTTTAAAATGTTCACATGTTTCTTAGCTGCATCTCTACAGCCAAGATCTAACCTACTTAAGGGCTTGGGCCACATGTTGTTCTTCTCACTGCATGCAGTCAATGCATCCATTATGTGCCTGTTATTTCCAAGCACTCTGTTTTGCATTCCTGACTTTCTTGAGCACACAGCAGCTGTTAAACATCTGATCACTGAGTTTCAGAAATTTTTTTTTAGGAATGATTTTCAGTGGTAGAATTTGAAAACAGCTTGTGTGAGTAGTCATAGCTCACTCTTTTAAAAATAAATGCCAAATAAGAATTGGATTATCGTGGGGAAGTCTCTCACTTAAGAAAAATCATTGTAGAGTAATACCAATTGAGATTTTCATTTCCTTTCAGCAGGACTGGTAGGATAGATACTGTGTGTGTGTGTGTTTTCTTAAACTATAGTGTTGATTAATTTCTTTTTTAATTACTCTGCCCATCTCAAGAATACATTTATTGTCATTTTAGATTGCTGGGTCAGGAATGAAAGTTTGAGTGTGTTTGATTTCAGTCCTGAACTCTCATATATTATGTTTCTGGGGAGTGAGCTTAGTTTTAATATAACTTTCGATTTGGGGGATTTTAGAAGTTAATGCATAAAATAGTGTTCCCTTTGCATGGATGGATGAAATTTTGTGGTGTTCAAACTGTTGTATTAGAGATGTGAATGCCTAATCATAACATAAATTCTGTCAACTATCTTTCATATTTAAGCAGGTTACAATGGATAGAAATATTTCTTGAAAAGCTAGTCTTTTTTTTTTTTTTTTTTAATATAGTTGCTCACAGTCCTTAGGCGCACAGCAAATGCCAGAACTGCCCTAATTAGGTCAGATGTTTCTCATTAGCTTGTAACAGTCTTGGATGGATGGATGGATGGATGGATGGATGGATGGATGGATGGATGCACAGCAGATGGATTGACCCAGGACAGACACTTTAATCGACCCCTCGCCACTGTCACACTACACATATATAACTCCCTGGCTACACTGAATCTTAAAGACTACACATACCACTAATATTGTACTGATTGAAATTGCTCGTTTCAATTCCTAACAGACTGTCTCTGTCTTTCTTAATAGCCTGTGAATATCTGCAGAACAAGGGCTGACTTACCTGTTTTGTTAGTGCCTAGCATGGAGTAGACACAGAACAAGTGTCTATAAATTGAAGTAACAGTGTGATGGCTTATGAAAGCAAAATCAGATGCAGAATATTTGTATATTTTATTTCAGAATATTTATATTTTAGTAAGTTAATGCTCACTCTTAAGTAAAGCAATGGGAAAAACATCCTCTAATATGTACTTTTTCTTGTAATAATCTACTGATGGTACTGATGGCATATTTTTATTAGCATTCCTTGGAATTAGTCAGTAAGCATTTACAAAGGATCCTGTATACAGTAGATAATTAGTATTTTGATGAATAAAAGATGAACACTTTTCCTAGTATACCTCATAGAAATGTATATAAATTATATTGTTGATATTCCTGTCATTGATGTTAACATTAATAAAATATCATGGAAGGGCTGGTTTCAATTTACCATTTTTGAGAAAAATGGCATATGCATGGTGGCCTTTAAAATAGTCATTGTCATTAAGGATTTGTATATTCTGTTTGTTCCCAGATGTCATGGTCTTGTGGGGAGGATAGAATATTCCTCAGCAACTTCTTACACTTTTTTTAACACGTTGGTTCCATGTTCACACCTGTGAGTTTAGGTGATAGTGCTGTGAGATACTTTTAGGATGTTATTTTTTGCGTGAACAAACAGAGGCTAGGCTTAGAGGAAAGCATACCAGTTTTTTCTTGCTGCATAACAAATTTCCACAGACAGCACCCATTTCTTAGCTCGGTGGCTCCAAGTCTGCCATGGCTCAGCAGGGTTCTCTGACAGGGTCTCCGATGCAAGGAGTTGGCTACATGGCCCTCTCAAGTAAGGCCATGGGGAAGAATCCGCTCCCGAGCGCTCATTCAGGTTGTCAGCAGGGCTGAGGTCTCTGTTTCCTGGCTGCAGGACGAGGACTGAAGTTTCTAGAAGCTCCTAGAAGCCACTTGCATTTGTTTGCTGTGGGCCTTCTCAGGAACATTGCAGCCAACAGCAGGATCCCTCATCAGATTCCTGTCAGACTTCAAATCTCTTTGGATTCTTTTCTGTGACCAGCCAAAGGAAGCTCTTTTAAAGGGCTCATGTAATTAGGCTACGCCCATCCAGATAATCTCTCTATCTTGAGGTCACTGTGGCACACACCTGCCAATCATGGGAGTCAAATCCATGGTATTTACTAGCCAAGGGATTACACACAGGGCATACACCAGGGGGTAGGGAAGTCCTAGCCCCTCTTTGAATTCTGCCTCCATGGAAAGGTCAGTTAAGATGCTTGGGAAATGCTGCCAAATTTACCCCAGCATTTATACTGCTTCTACTTTGAGATGCTGAAGACCGTGATCTAAGAACTCTCTTCTTGTTTAACCTTACTGTGTTTCTATGGGAAAGGAAAGCAGTGCTCTGTCCTTGGCGTACAGAGATGTTCTTAATTTACAGTCAGTAGGGCTGAGGGTTTGATGCTTATGATTTCCGTTCATTGAACTGTATTCTTTCAGCCAATCACTCCTGGGCCAGTGGTACCCAGATGAGGACTCTAGTCAGGTGTGCAGGTTTGCAATGAACGTAGAAACCAAACTGACCCTTGTTAAGGGCTTAACCTAGGTTAAGAACTTGACAAGCTAGGCCACAGGGAGCTGCCCTGAGTTCGAGACTAGAGGAGTGACTTGTCAAAATCACTGTTTTGGGCGGATTAACTTTGAAACTGTGTGAATGGTAAGAGGGGAGAAGCCAGAAGCAAAAGTCAGTCAGGAATTCAGAAATGAATGCTCATTTATCAGTGGTAAGGGAGATTTAGAAATGTATTGTGTTCCTTGGATTGCTACTATCAATGGTGGTAGTGCCGGGAAAATTAAAAAGACTGAGGAAGTGTAAGCAAGCTATAAGACAAAATCAGGCTGCTTGTTAGGACTTGTGAGCACCTGGGTAGCCTATGTTTACTTTCCAGAGAGACCATATGCTCGTGACTTTCAGGGTGCATTGTTCAGGTAAATCATCACTTTGTGTATGGGACTTGCAAATATATAACATTTGGCATTTCAAATGGTAAAAAGTACTATGGAGGAAGATAAAGCAGGAATGGGGATAGATGCATATTAGTATTAAGTGCATATCAATTTGTGGCTTTTAAAAATCACCTAACATAAGTTGTTAACCTGAGGCACATGGGTTGGATGGATATAAATGTGTATTTTACATGGAGTTGTATTTCACATTTATGGCGTTTGACCATGTGCTCTCCCCTACCTCTTTCAAAAAGCAACATTCATTTAAATGAGGTGGATAATGGATCTATAACATTTATTATTCTGATGATAGGATGTTCATTGCTTCTGAATACCTTACTTCTCTCTGTTTGATCATTAACCTAATCACATACTCTAATTTTCCTAGAGTCAGTATTCAAAGGGAGTTTGGCTTTTACTTCCTTTTCCTTCCACTGTTTGACTGAAGAATTTTTGAAATAAAAAAACAAAACATAGGAATCATCTGTGAGGCTGGGCACTGGATAGGGAACACATCTGTTTCATGTAAGTATAAAATGCTGGCTTTACAAATATTCAATGTGGAGTTCTCACCACATAGTTGACTGAAATTTTCCATGTTTGCAGTGGAACTTGAAATGAAAATAGAACTATATAGCTTTATTACCATGGGAAGGGATAACATTTAATTCCATCCTTTGTGACTCAACAAAATTCTGATGCAATGCAATGACAGTAGAAACAGATCATAGAAAGCAGTATAGAGATGTTGAGATCCTGATGTTTTAAAAGTAAACCTACGTAGTAAATAGTAGACTAATTCAATAATTATTTATTGATAACTTATTTATCAATAAATATTCAATAAATATTTATTGAACTGGGCACTGTTCTGCAGACTGGGAATATAGCAGGAAACAAAAAATGTTCTATCCTTGTGAGGCTTATATTTGAGTGAAAGGAAGCAGAGAATAAATAAATATATAACGTATTTGTCATTCAGATGGTAAAAAGTACTACAGAGGAACACAAAGCAGGGATGGAGATAGATGTATATTGTATATTGCAGGGGTGGGATACGGTAGCGATTTTAGAAAGTGTGGTAGGCAGAGTTCTAAGATGGTCCTTGCAATGGTTGGTTATAAGCCTGATAGAGTGTGGTGAGGGTGATGGGCTCTTACTGCTGTGATTAGGTTGCAGTATATAAAACTCTTACCAGCTGACTGCAGTAGAGAGTCTTGCTGGCCTTGCAGAAGTGAGATGCCGTGTTTGAGAGAGTCTACAAGAGACCAGTTAGACAGCTACAGACATAGATTGCAAGGGATGGTGGCTTGGGCCAGGGGTTGACTGTCAGGTGGTGAGGAATGGTCAGGTTCTGGAAAGACTGATAACAGAAAGTATGAGATTTAATGACAACTTGACTGTGTGGTGTGATAGAAAGAGGAACAGAAATGCTGACTCCTGAGTTTCTGGCCAACACAGCAGGAAGAAAGATGCTGCCATTAACTGACAGAGAAGAGTGTGGTGGGGACAGGTTTAGGAGAGATCAGGAACTCAGTTTGAGATGCTGATGACATGCAATGGAGACGTGGAGTTGGCCATTGAATACACCAATACCTAGAGATGTGAATGAGGAAGTCATTAGCATATTTATGGTATCTAAAGCCATGAGGTCCCTAAGGCAGTCAATATAGATAGGCAAGAAAAATGTTTTAGACCAGAGTTTTGGTGCTCCAGTAAAATATTTTCAATTATTTTATCTCCTTGATTTTAATGTTTCATTATTAACTTTTGTTCAATATTTGGTTCAACTTAAAATGTTTTTCTGTTCCCTTCTAGAACTTCAACTGACTTAAAAATTTTTTCTGTTTGTGTTTGGTATACTGTATTACTTACATATTTAATGGAGAAGAAAAATCTTAGACAAACTAAATTGAACGTAGGTTACTTGAGAAATGAATGATTCTCAAATTGGGAAGCCCCTGAACCAGCACAGGTTCAGAACTCCAGTGCTACCACGTGGTGGAAGATTTATGGACAGAAAAAAGAAAGTGGTGTACAGAAAACTGAAGTAAGGTGCAGAAACAACCAGATTAGTTACAGCTCAGTGTTTGCCTTATTTGAACTTGGTTTGTACATGCCTTTGATTGGCCAAAACTCAGTGATTGACACAAGAGTAGATGACAGTCTATTTACACATCCAATTAGGTTACAGTTTACTATGAACTGAAAAACCTTTAGGCCAAACTTAAAATGCATAAGGAGGCAGCTATAGGCTAAATTTAATTTAATAATTAGATCTGAGGAGAGTGGAGGTGGGAAGATGGATATGAAACCACAAGATATGACATCTCCTGATGGGAAGATTCTAGCACCAGCTAGAAACAGTGAACACCCATGGTAGCCTCCTTCCAGAAGGCAAATGGATATATACATCGAACATCTCCTTCCAATCCCAGATGAACAAAATCAAGCAGAGTGTTTCTATACATCTCCCTAGTCCTCAACTTCATTAGCAAAGAATCAGTGTGGTTTTTCAAAATGGAATTTATGGAAGACCCATGGCTAGCTGGGTGTAATTTGCTATATTTCTTCAGTTATAACTGTTTAAACAAATAGATACACAGAATTAGGAAGGCAGACTGTCAGTGAGGATAGACAGAAGATGGAGACTGCAAGAACAGAGCCTTTGAGAGTAGGTGAGAGCATAGTCTCGGGAGCCCTTGGGAATCTACCTTTGCTGAGTGCACTGGGGCCAGTATGTTTGCAGCTAGAGGCTTGTAAGAGTTGATGGCAGGAATGGGGAGAACTATGTCACTCTAAAGCAAAAGACCTCTACCGGTAGATCTACTTTTTTTTTTTTTTCCCCAAGACAGAGTCTTGCTCTGTTGCCCCGGCTGGAGTGCAGTGGTACAATCTTGGCTCACTGCAAGCTCCGCCTTCTGGGTTCATGCCATTCTCCTGCCTCACCTCCCGAGTAGCTGGGACTACAGGTGCTCGCCACCATGCCCAGCTAATTTTTTGTATTTTTAGGAGAGATGGTGTTTCACTGTGTTAGCCAGGATGCTCTCGATCTCCTGACCTTGTCGTCCACCAGCCTCAGCCTCCCTGTAGATCTATTTTTTATATAAGTAATCCCTGTAATTAATAAATTTCTTTTTTAGGCTAGTTACATCTTTACTCATATATCTTAAAAATTAACAGTTATTTCATAGCACTTTCTCAAGTCCTATTTTCCTGCTTTTTTTTTTTTCCACCTGATATTAGAGAAAGCTGTTTAGTTACTGAATTGCTTCAAATGAGAAGTAATTCTCTACAGTGGTACCATTTTTTAAAGATCCATACAGATCATGATATAACATCTTTGGGAACTGAAATAATTACTCTTACCCTTGCTTGTTCCAAAAAGGACTGCAGCAGCAACCTTTGAGAGTTTGGATTTTCGGTAGTTTATCTACTGTAATGAGGACATTAGCCCAGGGCAGCCAGCAGAGCTGACCTTGTCACCATGGCGAGTTAGCAGCGGGGTCAGAGAGCAGCGTGGTTTCACTGTGTACACTCTGATTTTCAGTGCTAAAAGTCCAGAATAGCTCTCTACTTGACCTGCCATGGGCATTTGCTCAGATCTGACCAGCAGATGTGCAGTGTTGAAGATCTGGTTTTAGCAGACTGCGTTGGAATAGGTTTGAAAAGGTCTACTCTTCTTATACCTTGATACATCTTTTTCTGTCTTTTCTATTTATACCTTTTTGATATTTAAGTAGATACCATTCCTGATCTACAGATTATATTTTAATTGATTTTCCTTAAACCTGTGGAAACAAAGTATTTTGAGTCATTTGAGAAAAATACAGCAAGCTTTTCTCTGCTCCTCTTACTGTTTTGTATGTTTTTCAAAGCATGGTATTTTCAGTGCTCTTTTGAAGTTCAGTAAATCAGTTGAGCTCTTATGTGACAGAAGTGACTTTTTTCTTCTAAGGTGCACTGGCCTTGTTGAGAGCCAATCCTGGTCAAATGAAGCATCCTCTTATAAGTAGAACACTTTCTTTAGCCATCTGGAGTCACACATGGGACCCACTCTACTTCTAGCTGTGATCCGCATTGACACCTGTTAATATGCTCTGTGCAAGAAAAGATAAACACCCTCAAATCTCATGTTTCATGATAAAAATTAACAATTTGCAGAAACTGGAGAGAAACATTGACTGCATCAAAAGTTGTACAGTTAGAGACAAAGGGTTTCATATTTATGCCCTGAAGTTTCAACTTCCGGTATTTATTAGAGATGGGATTCCACAGGATCTTTTAGTCTAGCCTAGATCAGGGGTTGGCAAACTATTGCCTGTGTGCCAGATCCAACCCTCTGTCTGTTGTGTAAATAAAGTTTTATTGGCAGACAGCCATGATCATTTGTTTATGTGTTGACTATGGCTGGTTTCACTACAGTGGTGGAGTTGAGAGGTCATGAGAGACTGTCCTGCAAGGCATAAAGTATTTACTATCGGGTTCTTTATGAAAAAGTTCACTAATCCCTAGTTTAGTATATATAACTTTTTTAAAAACTAAAAATTTTCAGTCACTAAATAATTTTGGAATAATTGATATTTTTAGCTTTGTCAGCATGAGTCCATCTAGAAGATGGTTTAAAATAAGTATAATTCAAATATTTGGCTTTCTAATACCATTTCAATTTCTGCAGGTTGTTAAAATCTAACTTAAGAAGCGTAATATAATTGTATAATAAAGTCAGACTACGAGAGAGCACTGACATTTTATATAAAACTAAATATTAGGTTTCATTTTCATATAGCCTGATAACATTTAAAACTAAAATCTTCATGAAGGCATAATTCATGTATCTGCTAAGTGCTCCCTTATAAATTACCCAAGATGACATGTTTATGGCCAAACATGAAGGTTGGATTGGCTTTGACTGAAATCGCATGAAAATGTAGTTTGTTCAGGTTCATGTGCGTGCATTTCTGTGAAAATTTCAGTGTTTCTTTCTGGTAGGTTAAATTGTCATACAATGCATAGTTTATTTGAACTGATACTCAGTTTTTTGTAGGCTGTTGGTTGTTGATGTGTGTTCCAGTGTGGTAACAGTGGGTCTCCTTTCCCAGCGTTTTCCATCCCACCCCTGCTGTAACAGCAGGATGTAGTCACAGGGTCTGGAACCCTGCATGCATGTTCTCCCCGTCATTTCTTGCGCTTTGGTGACTCAGGTGGGATGCAAGGCTGAAAATGAGGAGGCCCTGTGTTTTTAGTGGAAATGATCTGCCTTTCTTTCTGTCTAGAGCTGGTAAATGAGGGCAACACAGGAATGGCATTAAGTTCTGCAGAGTGTAATTACCGCTTGATTTGTTTACACCATGGCCGAGGGGTGAGGCCACTGCCATGACAGGACACTCAGCTGGGCTCCCTGGTCATAGGCTGTCTGGAGGGCTCTGCTTCCCTTTGCTGACCCTGCACTTGGTCACTGCCCTCCTTGGTGAGAGCACTGGACAGACGAGCTCTCCAGGGTGACCTGGCTGGGTCCCCTCGAG